TTTTATCTAGGCTGGCCAGTAGTAGCAAGAGATGAATAGCACGGCTTGTCTACTCATGACTGGTATGGATGCGTGACCGAGCACTTTCAGATGGGATGTGTCCAGTGAAACTGGTGACGCCGGCATCAGTGTTGTAGATTCGCAGCATTATTACATTTGACGATTCGTTTGCTGCTTCAAAGGGTAAGGATACTCTGAAGCGTATCCAACGGCGAGCCACGAAATCATTTCGGAGACTCAAATTCAAGCCTTATGAAGGGCACCTCCGAGCACTAAATCTTTACCCACTGGGGTATAGGCACCTTAGAGGTGACCTTCTAACGGCTTCCAGCATCCTAAACACTCCTGGACACCCGTTAAACGCCTACTTAAGTTTAGCTCCAACACAAAACTAAGGGGTAACACCTAGAAACTGGAGACATAACACAGCAGAACGGATAGCAAACACAACTTTTACTCCTTAAGAGTAGTCAAATGCGGGGATTCGCGACCGGCTGAGCTAGTCCAAGCGACCTCTCAGGAGTCCTTTAGGAGGAAACTTGATATATTCTCCAGGACTAATGATAGTATTCTACTGTGATTTACCAACTTCTTTTTTCTTCTTTTATCGTTAATATACCTAGGTTCAGTACAGACGAATGGCCCGGCTGCCAGTTTCTCGATATCGCTAAAGAAGTGGAACCGTCTGAAATAACGGGACGCGATTTATATTTAAAAGGACAGTGGTATTGTTTCTCGTTGAGTTAATTAACTTTTTTGATCGTCAATTACGCATCAAAACTACTGTTTACACTTTAATTGCATCTACCCCAGTTAAAGTGATATTGTATTGAGTGTTTCGATTTTACTTTTTGTGTATTTATTGCATCGAAGCATAGTTGGTCGACTTTTACTTGATTTATTTGGTTAAAGTTTGAGAATCCTTTTACATATCCTGTTGTTGTCACCGTTCTAGTTGATTTTCAAGATGGCTGGATCTGCTCATAAATGTGGACAACCATATTGCTTATTTCCCGTGGAGGAAGGGATGCAATGTGATGAGTCTAATAAGTGGTTCCATAAGATGTACACCCGATTAAGCCCCACTGCATATAAAAGGTGCTCAAAGTCCAACTCTCATTGATTTTGTAGTTTTTGTTGCACGAGCGAAACATTACTCATCCAGAAAGCAGTTAGCCTCCTGATGTTGACTAATAAGAAGGTTGATGAGGGCCGTACTGGTAACATTGGTACTGATGGCGAAGATTGCGTTAGTATCGTAAGTGCTGTCACGGCGCAAGCCATACGTCTACCTGTGCGACTTGCAGTTAAACGTTCTCTCCCGAGACGATCAGTGAGTGACATCTCATCAGATGTTGGTGGCCGTATTGCTACAGCTGCGACTAGTGATCCAGATAAGACAATTACTGTCCCGAGTTGTTCTAATGTAGACGTTTCGACTGATGGAAAATGGATGACGCGAAAACGCAGAAGAGTAGGAAAGACAGCTAAAACTAATGACTGTTTACTTGATAAGTCCTTGGTGGACTCTCAGACCAATCCGCCAAAGTCTCAAAGTAAAGCTTCGTCTGACATTGTTGTGAGTCACTCGCCTGACTCCCAGGACTCTGTTACAATAAAAACTAATCGTAAGATACCAGTAGTTAAAATACAGGATCTAACGTCACGGTCGAAAGCTGTGAACACAGTTTCAAAAGAAGCTAAACCCCTCCCTAGTTTAATTATTTGGAATCTAGAGGAGTCGAAAGACAACGACCCTGCTAGAGGACATGCACATGACCTGCAGTTAGTGGAGTCTGTGGTAAGGAATGTACTACCTGAAGAGGTTTCAGGGGTACATATTACAAAAGTAATACGACTTGGTAAATGGGTTGGAGGCGAGACCCAACCAAGAAGAATCCTGAAGCTGGTTCTCGGGAGTTTTGAAGAAAGAGACATATTATTGAAAAGCGCACTAAAAACTCGTGCCTCAAATATCCGTATTCGACCAGATTGGCCGCTTGAGGATCGAATCAAGTGGAAGAATGCTCTTACGGAGTTGAGGACTCGCAAATTAAATGGCGAAAATAACCTTACCATTAAGGGTTTTCGGGTAGTCAGGTCTTGGAAGCCAATGCTTCCGAGGCCTGTATGGGTAGAACGATTGATTTCCAAAACACCTTAAGTGTGTGCTACACGAACGCTCGTAGTCTTAGAAATAAAACGTCCGAGCTAAGTCTGATGGTGCAAGAATTATGTCCCGATATAATCGTTGTTACAGAAACTTGGTTCACCGTTGATATAGACTGTTCTCCTTTCATTGCTGGTTATATCTGTATCAGAAGTGATAGAGTTTCAAGTCGCAAGGGGGAGGTATAATATTATACGTTAGGGATCACTTTCGTATACAATCAACCATATCGGAGGCTCATATCAGTGGCACATGTGAGGTTGCATGTTGTAAGATTAAATCTAGAAATGGGTTAGTGACTATAGGGGGAATATACCGTAGTCCGTCTTGTCTTGCTGACGACTTTATCCTAAGACACATCTGTTCTTGGAGTATGGCAGAATGTTGTCTCATCATTGGGGACTTCAACGCACCGCATATCAACTGGATAGAGCTTACAGCTCCAGGTAGCGGTTTCGATAGCGACCTTTTATCTACCGTTATTCAGTGTGCACTTGTACAATGTATCACAAAACCGACACATATTGATTTGCATCATGATCCGTCACTGCTGGACCTCGCCCTCACCCACCACTGTGAGATGTCTTTGATATCCAGCACCTTCCCCCACTAGTGAACAGTGATCACGTTGTAATTCACTTTAAGTTTAGGACACATGGTATACAATTCGTATCTGCTCCACCCCGTCCCAATATCTGGCGAGCTAATATTCCGGAAATCAGAAACTGTGCTATCTCGACTGATTGGTCGGTCGACGCGGATGGATTGATCGAAGATGAATGGAATAAGGCTACATTCGAGTCCGTAACGTCGCCGTTTATCCCATGGTCAGCACGTAAGCTATCACATTGCCCTCCATGGATTAATAAGGAAACCCGGAAGCTGTTAAAGCGTAGGAAACATTTCTGGGACTTATTCTTGTTGACAGGTCATGCACCATTTAAGCGTGAGTACCAAAAATACCGTAATATCTGTAAGAAAACCATAGCGAAATCCCGTACCACTTACGAACGACAGTTAGTATATGATAGCCGTACTTGTCCGAAACGATTGTTTTCGTATGTTAAACGGCAAATGAAACGTAGTGATGGTATTCCCCGTTACTGTTACACGAAAATTCAGAATTACTAGCTGAATCAGATCGAGCAAAAGCTGAGACTTTTTCAGACTATTTTAGCGAAGTCTTCTCTACGTTTATTGTAACAAATACTTGTCCCACTCACACCGAGATACCAACCATTGAATCTGTACAGGTGACTGAGGAAACTGTCCTTCCGTTGATAACTAACCTCAAACCTGGTAAGATACCGGGCCCTGACGGGTTACATCCACGGTTGCTGTCATCTCTTGCGGACATTATTTCAAAACCGCTTGCGACACTCTTCAACATGTCCCTCTCACTCGCTCAACTCCCTAGAGATTGGAAGGACGCTATAGTTAGTCCTATATTTAAGGACGGTCAGCGACAGATAGTATCTAACTACCGGCCTGTCAGTCTAACTAGCATAGTCGTTAAGTTACTCGAAAAGATAATTCGGGTTAGGTTGCTAAGCCACATAGATTTACACAATCTGTTAGCTCCTGAGCAACACGGATTTCGTAACAAGCGTTCATGCTTGACTAACTTGCTTATTGCGAGGGAGGATTGGACAGCAGCCCTAGATCACGGTCTGTCTGTCGACGTGATATTCATAGATTTTAGCAAAGCGTTTGACAAGGTTTCACACGTAGGTCTTATGCAGAAGCTCACGAGCTTCGGAATAATAGGTACTGTACATGAGTGGATAGGAAATTTCTTATGTGACCGCAGACAGAGAGTTAGGGTCAATGGAACGCTATCCGATTGGAAGCCGGTCAAAAGTGGTGTACCCCAAGGCACCATCTTAGGCCCTCTGCTCTTCCTTCTCTACGTTAATGAGTTACCGCTGTTACTTAGGTCGTCGACATTATTGTTTGCGGATGATGTAAAAATCTGGAGAACAATAAAAAGTGCGGCTGATCATGTGGATCTTCAAGCTGACTTAGACGATTTAGTTAGATGGGCTCGAGAGTGGGGCTTAGAAATTAATGCTAGGAAGAGTGTACTAATGCACATCGGTCACGGTAATAGTTACCGTTACACTATTGAGGGTAAACCTCTTCCATGCGTTCAAGAGCATAAGGACTTAGGAGTAATATTAAGTCATGATTTAAAAACAACTGCGCATTGCAAAGCAGCCGCTGTCAAAGGTTTTCGTGCGTTATGGTCACTTCGCCGAGCGTTCAAATCTTTTGACGAGGAAACGTTTCGAATTTTATATCCCATATATGTTAGACCACATTTAGAGTACTGTATCCAAGCAGCTAGCCCGTGTCTGGTAAAGGATACTAACTCCCTTGAGCGTGTCCAGCGTGTGGGAACGAAATTAGTGAAGGGTCTTTCTAGACTCCCTTACGATGAGCGCTTAAAACGCCTAAATCTTTTCCCCTTGTCGTATCGTAGGACACGAGGTGACCTTATACTGGCATTTCGTATCTTTAATTATGATTTGGGTGTTAATATGTCTTATCTTTTTGCTCCCTCCAGCACTAATAATCTCCGAGGTCATAGCAAGAAGGTTCATAAACCACGATCTAATAAACTTAAAGTGGGATCCCGTTTTTCTCATCGAGTAGTCAATCATTGGAACGCCTTACCCGAACAAGTGGTATCAGCCCCATCAGTGAATACTTTCAAGGAGAAGCTGGACCTTCACTGGAAAGCAATGTGTCAGGATTAATACAGGTGCACCAACCTACTATCCTTATTACTGAAGACTGAAAATATTGGATGTTGGACTGAAAATGAATTACCGAAATTATGATGTCAAGGTTAGTCCTAGTCATGTGTCTGGTATGGATAGTAAACCCGGCTATGATTCAGATGACGAATTCTTCGATTGCCAGTCAGAGGGTAATAGTTTCATTTGGTTGGCGAATTTTTTCAGCTTGTTTTTATGCTGTAGCTTCTCCTTTGAGTAAAGGGCGAGGTGAAGTTTTTGTGGATCCTAAGAGGGCTTATTTAAAGTTACGTGGTATCACGGGTGCTAGGCTTAAGTTATTTGCTAACCATGTGGATGCCAACAAATTTGCGAATACTCCAGTTGACGAAGAGAACCTCTCCAACCCCTACCCTCCAGTAAGTTGGGATATTTTGTATACAAAAATTAAGTCACCCAAAGCTGATGTTGAAAGCAGTCCATACCCCAGTGCTAGTCAACAAACCCTGATTCGTTTTCGATCAATGTTAGATAGTGGGAACGTTGATGTTGTTAAACAAATGGTAGACGAGAACCCGATGATTTTAGTAACGACTAGTGACACACCCACAATATTGCAAGTTAGTTCAATTTTCTAACATTTACAATGCTCTAGTTTCATTTGAAAGTTGACGTGTCGCGTAGATCTTTTGTTTACTTTGCTTACATATATATATATATATATATATATATATATATATACTTACGCATGACCTGTAAGTCATCTGGCTGTTCTTATGGACTACTCACCACAAACCACAACTTATAGCTCCCCAAGACGTACTAGGATGTTAAAATGCCTAAAGTAATACTGGGAATGCAAACCGATTTTGGTCGAAAATCTAATAGACGAAGTTTGGTATCTTCTAATCATGGGGATTATAAAACCTCTTGTGTACTAGTTTGCAAAACTAAGGATGACATATTTCTACCCCATGTGAGTGAAGCTCAATAGGAATTTTCTGTGAGCAGTAGGCAATAAAGTTAGTAGCGCATGTGTTAAAAAGTCAAAAGGTGTTTTTTGGCAGTGAAACCTTACTCCGGGTAATGTATATAAGCTTTTAAAGCTCAGTCAACATAAGGTAGATTAAACATTAAGCCAATATCAAACTAATTACGGTTCATCTAAGGCGAAAAATCATCAGGCTGATCATTGGTAAGCTTTTTAACGTTGGGTTGTTCATGCTGGTGACTTCGCATTCTCCATATCTAAACGCGCACCAGGCGCTTACTGAAAATAGAAACTGACACATCCTCTAGTTGACAAATGGATATCGCATGTACGCCATAAGTGACGTAAACTGGCAAAAGCCAACTGGTCTTTCTGCATTCCTGCCGGGATTCCGTCTGAGACTTCCAAGACTAGTGGACTGCTCAGCATATCCAACTATTTTACTCCCTATCATTAGTTCAAGCGTTGACCCGAACCGATCCTGAAGTAACATTTTCCGTTTGGATGGAGAGGAATGCATTCCCAAAATCATTGTACTGTTCCATAAGGTGTTCAGAATACTGTATTTTTCAACATCAAACAGAACCATACCATCTGTGTATTTTAAGTTAACAAGTATATCCCTTGGTAAAAGATCGATTCCTGATAAATCAGACGGTGAAAGTATCATTTCTAAAAAATGTCTGCAACAAGGTTAAATAAAAGTAAGGGAAAAGGATAACCTTGAGGAACACTTGAATTTGCCGATTCCGACGAAAGTTTGTCATAAGCTCTAAATATTAACACGAAATAGTTATTTCCTATCAATATTCAACTATTAGGTTCTGATTATAAATCACTTCCGTTTACATTCACTTTTAGTGCTTATAAAAGCTCATGTTCAAGCCAAGTATAGGGAATGCTGACATCGTTACCAAAGATAACTTGGTGGTTTAAGGATTTGAGTAATAAGGGATCAAATGAATCATATTGGTTAATTTTTTTAATGTGGCCATTCTTTCATTGTATACTCAATTTTCCTCCTTTATACACGCCATCTTTTTGTTATATTTCAATTTTCGTTCGTCTTACATAAGAAACGATGTTTTTACATAGTTGTTTTACATGTTTTCCGATTATTTTTACAACAAACGCCAAACTGAAGATACGCTTTCGATATAATGCATTACATGTGGTTGCTTCAAAAGGAAACGTCAACTTGCTTCAGTTTCTTCTAAATTGTATTGATTCTGATAAATTTTGGGAACGTCTGTATCCAGGTGCATCTAAAGAAACGTCTTATCGGCGTCAACAGTATGTTCTAGACTTATATTTGAATAGTCCTGAACTTGGAGTGAGTTAACTGTCGATATTTAATAATTTTCACCACAAGACATCGTGGACAATAATTTTTCGGTTTCATAGTGTTTTTGTATTGTCACGTATAAATATCTGCGATTGAAAGTAGTTCGAGGTAAGTGAAAACAAAACTGACGATGGACTTAAAATATCTTAAATATGGAAATTGTCATGTATGCGTATTGTATGTGTTGCTGAAAACACTAGAATTAGACGTATTCATGAGGGATGGAATAAATCTGGCAATTTATATGTCGCACGAAAACGCATAGTTGTCATATTATACTAAGTTTTTCCGAGATCAGGTTCATGAAAGACCTGAATCTCCCCTCAGAAGGCCAACACATAAATCCGATTAGATTCACTAAGACTTGTCTCTGAATTATATATATATTCTGTAAAAATTTTCCATTTAAAATGTCTGAGTTATCTCATATCAGTAACGAGTTGTTTATTGTTTTTCTTAATATATTTTTCCATATAGGACGTATCTTAATACCTAGAACGTTTCGAGAAAAATAAGAGAATGAAATCTAACGGCAATGTTTTATAGAAAATATTTTAGTTGTATATTTGCATTTACTACATTAATTCCAATGCCACAATACATGTAGCTCAAGAACTGCACCCAAATTAGTGTACTGGACCTAAAACACTAATAGCCTTTGCATTTATCCTTAAATAAAGTCAAGGATAAAGCGTTCGACCAACTCGTTTTGGTTTTTACTATTCCTGAAAGTGTTGGAACAGTTTAAAAACATTTTGTTGCAGAGTAAATCCTCAGTTTACAGTCACAGAATAAATCGGGATAAAATTCACGTAATATGGTAGTTGAATTTCTTGATCTGTGTTAAGCTTTTATTTATTCGTAAACGGTCATTCACGGTTTCCTCAGTTTTGTTCACTTCTGTACAACTACATTTCAAATTTCTTACAGTGCCCAATCAAACGTACCAACTCAGTTAAAATATTAATGTTTATGTTTTACAGAACTTTGAAACTCCCCTACATTTCGCTAGCAAATATGGACATATTGAATGTGTTTCCATGCTTGCGCGGCATCCATTGACAAAGCTCGACCCTCGTAACTTTGCAGGTCATACGCCTGTAGATTTGGCTGCTACTCGTTTGACCAGTCAAGAGAAAATCCCCCATTCGGATTTCGATTGTCCCACTAACATTGTTAATAGAATTCTACATATTTTTGATGAGAGGTACAATTAGTTCTTATTATTCAAATGTTGTTGGGTCTTTATTGATTTTATTTTTCAATACTTGCACGTTTAATATTAATATCGTAATTTCTTAATTTTTTATAACTGCCAAAATTCCTATATCAGAACTTTCGTCTAAATTTGAACGAATAGTTTCACAGTGATTGGGTACGGAGTTAATGTAAAACATTAAGGAGGCAAAATATATTTGTAAAATCTCAGTGTGTGAATTTTAACTCGAAATGAAAAAAAGTTATCAGGAATTTAAGAATTTGGGATCCAAACGATGACAAAGAGTAAATACACCTGCGTCATTGCAAATGATTTTCAGCCATATGATTCAAAGTTTTTAATATTTGGTTACGATGATCACACGTACCCTAAACGGGTGGTCTGTACCTATCTACACGGTTCATTCCAATAGTCAATGTCTCCACGGACTTATGCCATGTTTTAATTTGGTCACCCCTAGATTTCCTCCAGCCTGCTCCCGCTCCGGAAAACATTGTTCGTCGAGGTAGGCAGTAGTCGGGCATATGTAACACGTCCCAACCACCTCAATTGACGAAGATTTACTACCTCATCATTCGGTTTCCCATCTTCACCTAGTACTATATTTCTAACCCAGACTTTGTTTACTCCGTGGTCCCGAAATACACGAACAATGCTTCGAAGAGATATGATCGAATACCAGTAACCTACGAATATCCTCTATTCTTATTGGCTATGTTTCATACCCATAAAGTAGGACGGAGCGAACTACTGTGCAACAAACTCGCCCTGTGGTTGTAAGATAGATATCGCCCACGCCACAGGTGATGCAATTCGACAAAATCCAATCAAATAAACAGTGGATCGACGAAATTCAATAATACGGATCATTGTATTACGACTTAATGGCTTAACTATACCGTGTTCACTATTAGACTTTTAGCACCACTTGAGATCAATCCAGTTTAGGTTACAAATTGTTTGCAATAGTAATGAGTCCCACCGAGTGAAGATGAAACACTGTTCTTTGATCATAATTGGTTTCCCTGCTTATGTCGGTGCGTAATCAAAAATATCCCGCTTCTCCTTTGAAAAGTATGATTTTAATTCTAATAGACAACTATCACATCCACATTTCGACCACTGGGTTTGAGCAGCTGAGTGTTATCATAAAACCTTACACCAAGAGTACACTCAACACCGAGTAGATAAACTTGTACTTATCTACTAGTAAATGAAAACGGATTCAAATTCAACAGTCTTGTAATGGAGCATGTTGACCACGAACTTAAATCATTTATTGTTTAGACCTTAAAATGATTCATAAGAAGTCATAACTATTAGATTTATCATGACAAAGTGTGTTTTCCATTTGTGACCCAAAAGTTGAGTATTGTATGCCTAAAACAATCAATTAAAAATGTATTCGAACGAAATGTACATTATCTTAACGTACATGGCTCATTGGATTAGGTTGTATATTCGGCTTTTCACTATAACATGCTTGTCACATTGTATTAACTGATTTTAGTATCATTTATACAGAAATAATGAATTGATATGTTCTGAAAATTTATCAGGTTTTCATTTAAAAACCTCACCTTTCAACTGTGGCATCAAATAACTTTCATTTTTTCACTATCTGTAAAAACTAATTTGATCATACTTACTGCATGAAGTCCAAGTACATTAAAGAGGTGTGTAAATCGAATTCAAAAAGTATAGCTTCAAGCTCATCACTCTGTTTTAAATAGTGGGGTACATGTACTATGTTACATAATCTACTTCAAGTATGTAGATGTGCAGTGCAATCGTCATAAAGATTTCTAGAAGTGGTTTTTTTTATTTCACTTCTATAAGTAGCCGAACATACGATCCAGTTACTTTGTTTACATTACTGTTCTGGAGAACGTTGACCGTCAATCACTTTTTCTCCGTGCTTTTTAGACATACCAATAAATCAACATTCTATTTCCTCGAGATTGTGAGTTTCTAATTATTGCTGATATTATAATGCGTCTGACCAAGTGTAATTTTCATTTTTCTTATTTTGTTTTGTAGTTACATTGTATTAGCAGATGTGGAGATTTCAGAACTAGCTATAATAAAGACTAGGATACTAGCACCCTTGAACACGCGTGAATTTCAAACGATGTTAGGGTTGTATGCACGGAATTCGTGTAAAACATTTAAAAATGCAACCCATGTGAAACCATTTCCTACACAAAACAATCAATATTATTTCTTCAGGAGTTCAGTGGAAAAAGGGGATTGTCTCAAAGTTAAGATTAATGGCAATGTTCGCCGGTTACGAGGCTTCTCAGGACCAATGCCGAGTGATGTAGTGAGCCAAGCTTGTTGAGAAAACTTTTTGTGTTGAGTAATATCTTCCTAAATGTTTCTTATTTTAGACATATTCCTTGTCTGATTTAATCAGTTAGAATTACTGATGTACAGTCACGATATTTTAAAGTTTGAAAGTTTTAATGTCAGAAGTATTGTCCCAGTTGTAAAGTTTTCATTATTTACCAGCAGTCTTGTGATAAATCTATACTCATATGCTGTGCTTGTTATTTTATCATTGGAATGCATATATGTTACCTAGTGATCAAATTACTTGTCATTCGAAAAATTCGGACTCAATAGCGGTTCCAGACCAATCCCTTTTTGAAACTAAAGTATCTAACCTATTTGTTTGGTTATCGAAACGCTGGTCAAAGTAGTAAAAATCTCTATCCTTATGTGTAGTACCGATAATCATTCCTACTGTATCGAAATTTGTTATATCTTAAAGATTTCGGCTACTATTTTTGTCGGTTAGACTGTAGCTTTTCTGAATCTGTTGACTTAGTTTCTGCAAATTAAGTTCCCCTGATTAGGACGATAATTAGTTGCATTTTTCGGGATACCGCGGGTGGAAATTCAGAAACGATTTGATTCCGTCTCTCAGTGTTATGTTGCACAGTTGCTTTCAAAGTTGAAATTACTTCACCATACTACAGGACGCATATCCCATCCTGTTCGGGACTAAACACACTTTCAGTTCGCTTCGGTACAATCTTAATGTATAGCACTTCAAATTTACACCATATCATAACTTCTTATTACTTGATGCTTTAAACATCTCTCAACGAGTTTGAGAGCTCGTAATTCACATGATGCTAGATAAATATTTGACAGTGAAAAGTCGTGAACTCACATCCATACTTTATATACAGGTTGTTTATTGCACTAACCTCCTATTAGGGTGTGTAGATCATTAGTTGTCACTGTTAATGCCTATCCTATACTGTCGACGTCCAATTTCGATTATTAGATTGTACCAGTTATTGCGAACAGTACAAATATTATCCAATCCCTAAATACAATTTATTTTATGGCCAGTTTGTTTCGTCATCCTTTTTATGTATGTGCTCAACATCCAGCCATTATTGGGTAGGCAATCCTAACAAATTACTGCACTTTATCTCTCAAAAGCCATCCAGGAGCGACAGATTATTCGCTGATCACTTTTTAAAAGATTAGACTTTATGCATAGAACTTGTGACTTTTGGTTGAATTTCTCTTTCGTTAAGTCCTATAAAAAATACTGTACAAAGTCTAACCATACCATGAGGATATTTAGATAATCCATACATTGTCCAATAGCAGTATTCGCAATTTACATTAAATTTGGGTAGTGGCTAGCAATGGAATCCAGGGTGTGTGTTTTGTTTCATCCAGGACTCGTCAGTTGAACTCACTTGTACCCCAGTGTTGATTTTCGTACTGAGATTGTAGCCCAGTACCTTGCGTTTCAAATACCAACTGGCTATCCGCCTAGCTACTTAGCTAAGATGAACACTAGTTTGCGCGATGGGTATGAATTTTATTTGTAAGCGCTTGTATTTTTTCTTTGTTGGTATTTCTGCAAATGATCAGTCTTGTTACTAAATGGTAATGTCCAGGCAATTCTTTATGAACCAACTCACTCACCAGGTGCTTGGCTATGGACCACACTAAGTGTTAGTACTAATTATACTACCTGGCCGCACATACCGAAGCAGGTGGCTCAGAGTTCAGACCTGGGAATTATGATTGAAAGTCGATTGCTCTAAATATTGAGCTACCGCTTAACAAAAGCTCCACAAGCCCTTACAAATACTTCTGATTTAACTTTTAGTACTGTAGGAGTAAGTTTCCCACTTATCTGATAAAATCTTTTTAGTTCATCTAAAAGCAACTACCCAATTTTTTATTAGAAACTATTCACAATATGTTTGTTCAGACTCATTGATGTTCACCTTGGTTCCTAAAACTTAATTTTAGATAGAGATAACTGTGTGCTCAAAAGAAAATAGAGTATAACTCTGTACAGTTTAAATTATTTGAAAGTTCCAATTACTGTACACCGAATTTAATAAAATGGGGTGAAAAGTCGACTATTTAAATCTGTGGACTTCAATGTAGAGAGCCCTTATTCATATTCTATTAGTTGATATTTCTTAATCGTAAGAATTATTTGAGATTTAATCTAATTCATAAAAACGCTTCTCAATTTACAAACATTTATTTGATTCTCATGCGTTTTTTACCCCAACTAATCAAAACACACAAATAGAACAATATAACGGTGTCATATTTCATCGATTATGCTAACTCGGCGTAGTGCTGTAATTCGTTTCGTTTTAAATAGCTAACGCCAGTCAGCAACAATCCGTGGACCTAGAACAAGTGCTTGGTTTTCATCGTAGGGTGTATCTGCAAACCTGAAGAAACTAATACTTCCCATCAGATCCAAACCTGTTCAACCCAGTTCTGCAGTCAGATTACCAACTTTTTAACCACAGATCCAATTTTAACCGAACTGATGTCAGAGCCCTTAACTGATACTTCTAGTTGTGAATGGATTTATGTGACTCGAATTCAAGCATAAGGGCCGGCACTAGTCACTTTGTTACGTGGGGATTATAACAATGTCACTCAACCTAATTTTTTGGATGGAAGTAATGCGACCTAAAAAAGTGATTTAGTCTCTACGAGTCAGATTTCACCTAATTATTTGTTAAATGTTTAACATCAACTTGTAAAACTTCCCAAAATAGGGAACTATATATGATGCCTAATCCGTCCCAGTTTTCATGTTGTTATAGGCTGTTGAATTTCGAAAAAAATGGCTTCAATACAATGCACCTAATGCTGTTGACTACAAATCTTTTTCACATCTTCGTCTAATTGATTCGGAAAAAGGATATGAACGCCAAGGACGGTAAGTTGGTTTGTTTATGAGAACTCATAGAACGCCTTATAAAAGAAACCAACTTTGCTTATACGTCTGAATGGATATTAATCTGAGTTCTAGTTCTGGCAATGGTTTATTTTAGGAATTATAGACGACTGTAGTGACCAAATGGATAATGTATCACCTCGTATGCTTTAAACCACCAAACAACTCGACACATACGATTCTCAATAGTACTTTGAAAAGCATTCGACTCTCAACATGCTTAACTTTGTGGAGTCGAGTAGTGGAATCAGTCTACACGTGAAAAGTGCAATGTAAAGCCTATTAAATAGACGTGTTCTTTGATGTACATATCCTATGTATCCAAAAATTCTTAGTAAATACACTTTTTACTCCAGGTATTTATCACGTGTTTTTGGGACAAGTTGGTATGAATATTGGGAATTTTTGGATGATTACATTGACTTAAGCTCTGAAGATGGTTTGCTAGCTTTAGAAGATTATCTGTCTAATTGTTCATTACTGAACATTGATCATCCATTAAAAGAAACTACCAGTAATGGGGATTGCTTAGACAACGGTAATACTGAAGGTAACACTCTAGCAAATGTTTTACAAGATGTCACTCAGACCGGCTGTACGCTCTCTCCAACATTTTCACTTTTCGATGATAACAATAACGATGTATTCGCTCCTACAACACCTATTATCCGTGGAAAATTAGTTCCTAAAAGCAATTCAACAATTAACAAAGAATTATTTGCGTCATCTAACTCTCAACGTTGGCTACTTTATCGTCAAGATAAAGGTTGTATTCATGAATTAAATGATAGTTTGGAAAATAGCCCCGAGCAAACAAACTCAAATATTCATTCTCATGAGTAAGTTTATTCTTTGAACTTATATGGTTTTCACTAATATTAAACAAATGATAGATGAAAACATCGAGTTGATGAATGTTCGGTTGCATATTAATTTACGGAGGCTGAAAGATTCCTAAGTGAAAAACAGGAAAATCCTAGTCAAAACTGAGTGTTTGCTCGTAGTATGTAACCGTTATAAATTGATAGCTCTTGTGATAAATGTGATAGGCCTTAGATTCGTGTTACTGGAAACACCTACCAACGAATACCAAGTAAGATATCAATGTATCCTGAAGAGCAATAGCTTAGTGATTAGGACACTTAAATTTAAACTATTAGGTTTCGTATCCAAACTTCACTTTACCCAGTTTGATCTAAGTGCCTGGAAAAATTTCATTAATTATCTACTAGGTAGTGACCGTTTACAAATATAACATGTCATTAACTTACTGGCTGGCGTTTTGCGACCAGCCATCCAGTGATTATCAGCAGATTAAGTCATACTGGGATTGTTTAGTATTTGTTGAACAAGACTTAGATGGACAACACTGTTCACTAAAAGAACGAGATAATACCTATACTTTCATGCGAATGAAAATAGCCTAGACTATGTATGTTGAAATTAACCAAGTTTAACAGAATGTGTTTTCTCTCTTCTCTATAGGGAAATGTCCGGTGAAAGAGACTCAGTAGACAAAGCTGTTGTTGTCAGTCCCATTGTACAACTTCTGAAGCGTTTGACGTTTGTAAGTCCAATGCGTTGGTTAAGAGCAGTTAATCAAGTAGACGGAGATGGCCAGAAGTCTTTAACGACAGACAACATAATCCCAATTAGTGATGCCAATTCTACTACCAATAAACTTTTTGGTTATGTGTCTGAACTGAGATTTTCAAACAAACGCAGAATATCAACATCAAGCATTCAGAGCTTAGATTCGCCTTTAGAAAAGCCTGGTGGCAAGAAACACTCGCCCGGTAAAACAGAAACTAAACCAACATCTGAATTAACAACAAAACAATTACCACACTACTTCACTAATATCTACAAAGCGTTGCCTGGAAATGACGACGAGCTAAAATATTTTAACCCGCTTGAGTTGCCACTTCAAAAATCTACACCATCTCTTGTACTATCCACGTCAAACAATTCTAAATTTATAAAATGTATTCAACTAACTGAATACGTTCAATCTTTTTAAATAAGTCCTCATAAATGTTTAGCTGATAATAAACAAGAGTAAAAAGATAACTATGTGTACAATATATTTTTCTTAAAGCTTATGTTTTCTAGGTACATTTCGCAATCTGATGCTTTATATATTCACACATATATATGTTACATGTTTTTTTGTCAATTCCGATTAATTCTTAGAAGGAAAAATGCTTCATACGAATGAAATATCAAATGTGTTCTCACACGCCAAACAAGGTCAAACAAAAAAAGCATCACTTCATGCAATATACTGTTACGAGTCATCAATTATTACTTGTGCGATGCTAAAATACTGGGAATTTTCTTTCACAAAGTACTGTTCCTTTAATACGAAAAAGCATAAGAAACAACCATAATATTAAACATAAAGTTGCATTTAAGAACAAAGTTTCGTATAAAATAGATTGCTCGTTTTGACAAGAAAAGTGATTCACTCTAGAAACGGATAATGTATTCATCAGCAACTGTTCAGTTCATCCAGAGAAAATTGGTTAAATGTTAAGCTTATTTTTGTACCGCAGGAAAAACAATCTGTACTGTCAGTGGTTAAGTTAATATAACGAGAGTGTAGGTCTGCTTCAGCTTTGTTGTATGCTACTACTGCATAGTCAGCCCATGGAATACGTTTATTTACCATTTAGAAATCAGCAGTTCTACTTTCTGTTAATCTGTTTATACACCACCGTAGCGCTGCAAAATGCATTTTCGATATATCTTTTAGTGATTAGTACTTACTCCTGAGGAACAGCAATTCATGTAACTATTTACGGTGACAACTAATTTCCAGGTTCTCATACTACAATTAGTGCTAAGTTGCAAGACGTATGGTAATGCATACGTAGATCTAAGATACTTTGATGCGCGTTACAACCTGCTTAGGTCAGTAAACTATTGGGTGTAGGCAACTATTTATGCCGCATACCCTGATGACCTTACTTTTATTGGTAACTACGACCACTCTCTTAATATCCAGACACTAATCCCAAGGAAACACAGTTCACTATTTCTGCCCACAAAATCTCGACATAAATACACTGGCAACCAAGGCGTGGAAAGTGACCAAACTAACGATACTACATATTGTTGATGCACTACATTTTTGTGTTTTGTTGTGAAGCGATTAAAAACCCTCCGAAAGGTGTTTAGGTGTATTTTTAAGTGAATCGACCGATGGGCACTACGGTCTAATTGATCCTAGAATGTCATTTGATGCAAAAAGTCATTATCCACATGATGAAGGTTTGCTTTAAGACTTCCAGTAGCGTCATCCAGTCTGTTTTGAAGATGGGAAGGATGTTAAGTCTCAAACCATTTCCTGACCCTTTCTAACTGTAACCTTTAATCTTGGTATTGCCGGACCTCTTTTGTAATGGCTTGAGGATTTCCTAGTAGGTCGCAGATAGGAAGTAAGAATAAATCCCAAGTTCTCTACCTGGAGACTAGTACTTGGTGGAGTAACTCAAAGTTCTGTCCTAGGTCCTTTACTTTTTATACCGTACAGTCCTCAACGTTATTATACGCTGACGATGTAAGTCTGGCGAGAAACAACGGGAGACGCAGATGCATGCGCACTTAGGGCAGACTTAAATAATATGACTAACTGGTCTGGAGAGTGGCTGATGCCTATCAATGCGGAAAAGTGTCTATATACACTTTTGGGATGCAGAGCTTAATAGGTACGGCATAGGGAAGTGCCTGTACCCGTCGTTCTGTCTCATAAGGATCTTGAGGTGACAGTGAGTCATGATCTTAAGACCAATGCCCACTGCCGGAGGTCGCAGCTAAGGGGTTTAGAATCCTCTGGGTCTTAAGATGGACATTCACTAATTTAGCTACTTCCATGTTCACTACAGTATACAAAACCTTAGTGAGGACTAAGCTTGAGAACTGCGTCAAGGCTGCAAGCTTCTGTTTAAAAGGTGAATTGGATATCTTGGTAAAAGTACAGAGGGTAGCTACCCATGCAATTCCAGAGCTCCGGGACTTACTATACAAAGAACGGCTTGAAAAGCTGGACCTCTTTGCTCTGCCGTATCTCAGACTAGGATATGATCTAATTTTGGTGTATAGCATACTAAAAATAATTTTGGACCCAGTATACTCTTTATTTTCACTAGACCGGGACATCTTAGAGGACATTGCAGGAGGGCAGGGAAGCCAAGAACGAACAAAATACCCGTCACATACATAATCCCATTGTTGCATACTATAATGTAAATGTATGTTGTTTCATCAGTGCTTAATTCATTATGATTAACCATTTAATTACGTCTTATGTTATATTTAGCCCGCTAACAAGCAATATGTCATTGTTGACGTCCCTATCAAGAAACAACTCATGATAGCAGCCAAGAAGTTGATTGTTAGCAAAGAACTGTGCCTTTATCCAACGGGCTTGTCGATATCCACCTACAAAGGTGCGACCAACCAGATGAAAATTGGGCAGTTCTGAAATGTAGTCATTGACGAATTCGGTTAGTAACAAACATAGAAACTATGATTTACTAGAGATTCTCTGCGGTTGGCGAAAAATGTTTTACTTTCAATGCAAATACTGGAATCTCACCGTAGAAACACTTCTACGGATGAGAACACATTGCCACAAAACAGTGAGAAGCCCAAGAGGTCAGTACAATAATGCTACAAACATTTCCTAGAGGTGTTCGACAAATTCATATCGCCAAGTAGGTTTTATTACTATTTAGATATGCACGAATTAGTTCGACACAATTAGAGACCACCATCCACATCGGAATCTAAGCACGTTGGTGGTGCTATAGCGGACCAGTAAGTAACCTGCATCATCTAGTAACCTTTTTCAGCTGTGGTAGGTTGTATACCGTGGTGCTGAACATGTCGTCAGCTGTCACTGACTTGACTAAAACGATAAACAACATATCGTCGGCCATTACTGACTTGAATATTAATGTAAAGCAATTACTATCTAAGTCTAATGAACGCGAAAAACCGCATCAATCTGATTGCGGACTCTCGAGTCAGCAGTTCCCTTTGTCATCTGAAGAGGAACTGCAGATGCTGGACACTGGTTTGCAGCAGAAAGAAACCAGGGACAGATTTGTAAGTCATTAACATTAATTTAATTTGTCACTATTACAGATGGCAATGGTTACTAGGTTATCAAGTGATGATCCAAAAACGTCGATGCGGTTTGTTCTGTCGCATCTCTTGACACCTGAGGTTGCCAGTAAATTCACGTTACTTGGCACCTCTTCAAAGCGAGCACTTCAGAAATGCAAGTTTTACGGCTGCATACGAAGTAACCTATATCTATTATTTAAACTTCAGGTGCCTTAACTAATCGCTTTTTGTCATCCGCTGTCGACGAAAAAGACCTTGGTAAGCTGTACGACATCGCGACACAAGGTTACTTTCACGATATCCGAGACAAGATGATAAAGCGTAATAGAAGAAAACAAGATCAGGTATGTACTAATTTAAAGTGATAACTTCCCTACGGCTCTATGGTTACAGTCAACAATATTAACGAACATAACCGTAAGTTCAGCTTCAAGAATTTGGCTGTGCCAAAGCATGTCATTGAGATATGGTTGTGACTTTTTTTTCTTTTTTTTTTAATTCAGAATTCACGGGACGACTACCTCAATTCTCAATAGCCGAACGAACGTGACTTAAGGGAATACTCCATGCAATTTTCTTTATGTTCTACCTCATTTTTAATAAACAATTTTTGGTAAAAGAGCTTACTTTATTACTTATATGGAAAACTATAGAAGTGCACGACATGTTGACAATGTGTGTTTGAGTGTCAGTGAAATTTTGACTAAATGCACATTCCTTATAGACAATACATCACCTGTTCCTTCTTTTGCAGATAATTTCAAAGAACAATGAATTAGCAATTGCAATGGATATGCAAAACAATCGATGCTTAAGCTTCTGCTCTAGTGTTGTACAATAATACGCTGTTCCTTCTAAATAAAATTTTTCAAAAATATACCGGTTTTCTAGTGCATTGCAGATTTATTTTGGTCTGTTGCTGAAAATAAAGGCGAACATAGGAGACCTTTGGGGTTATGTCAATGGATAGAAAATAGGTAGTTCTGTGTGTATTTAGGCGAAAAGTAGACAATCAAGTGTATAAGTAGGTAATTCCGCGGGAATTTAGGCGAAAAGTATACAATCCAGCGGACATTTAGGCGAAAAGTAGACAATTCGGCGGATATTTAGGCGAAAGTTAGGCAATTCAGTGGACATTTAGGCGAAAAGTGAGTAATTTGTCAACAAAGCGGCGAAAAAGGGGGGAATCCGCATTATTTCCCCCGGACAGGCGACATTCCGGTGCGTTTTACCCCTTATTTTCCCTTTCGCTACCAAAGCATTTATTTCCCCTCTGTTCGCCTTTATTTCCCCTTTTTTGGTTGTCTGGGCTATAGTCCCCAATCTGTCCGTAACCGTTGCGACCTCTGTTTATTGTTATTCCCTCTAACTATTGTGTGTGACAAAGCAAAACACAACTCAATGGTAATAAATAAATACATACGAAAACACACAATAGTGTCGTCAATACCGTAACGCGCGCATTAAATTTCAGTATCCTATATCTTCAAAGCGACTGGGACCGGTCATGAGTTTAGGCGGGTGAATTTATCCGCAACGCAACAATGTAAACTTAATGTATCGCCTAGGGTCATCTGTGCATTCAAGTAACCACAGATTTTGTCATTTCATAATGTAAAATATTAATTAAATAACTAGATTATGTTGTTAATTTTGCTCATTTTTCAATTTTTATTCGCCACGTACGACTGCGTAACACTATACGTTTATTGCACGCTGGGATAAATGTTAAGACTCTTTTTGACAACTGGGACTTTTAGTTTGTCAGACATTAACTCTCCTTGTATGTCTTCCTGTTAAACTAGACGCAGATGCATGAGAATACTTAAATGGGAGCAAAATAATAAAAGCATTGCAATACGGCACTAAGCCCATGTGATGCTTTGCACAAGTAGTAGTAGCTGACCTGATCTAATATTCATGAACTCAAGGTAAATCACAACTGCATAAATTCTTTGCTAAAAAACATGTAATTTGGTTATTTATCTATTCCATATTTCTGACTAAATTCATTACTATTTTTTCCTTTAGAATGCAACAGGAGTGAGCCTTCATAAATCCTAAGAACTATTACGCCCCTAGAACTATGGCCCTATGAAACTTTACGGGAAACCCAACTAATGGCAGATTATAAAAAGGACGCTGAACGTCTATTTTAGTCTCACAACCACTTTCCAGTACTTTTTGAGTTACTTCTTTTACCCTTTCGTTTTGAAAAAACAACAAAGACTGCAGCTTAACATTGCCAATGCAACTTTTAAACGGGAACTTCGTTTAAACTTTCGGTTAATATTCGATTCTTAGTGAAAGTTCCTGAATAAATTTTTAAATCTAATGCTACTTAGTTTTACCTACTTAATCGTTGCGAGAAATGCGCGATACACGAGCCTTGCAGCACCTAGTTCGTATGCAGTAAATTTAAGCGATTTAGTACATATCTTCGTCATTTTCTTGGGAAACCTACAGACTCGGGTCCTCTCATAACTTATTCTTACCACCATGAGTTGTCACGGCAGCTGATGGATACGCGTTATACATCCTAACCTTACCTGAGACTAATCTCATAGCATCTTATTCAAATGCTATATGATAGACAAGCAGTGCCCCTACCCGCACTAATGGAACATCAGTAACTCAGGCACCCTGTATGGTGCCTTACATTGGTCTACGCACTCGCTTAGCTCTTTAGTAAGGATATTACTACATTTCTGCCAAAAATCCCATGAACTTCCCCATCTTCATCAAAACAAATAAGCCTGTATTTGTTGCATATAGCAATTTTACATTTCTGAAGTAAGATATAACAGTTGGAATTAGAGTAAAATGGCAGTATACAGCAGATGCACGTGGTACATGTCTTCATCGATTAACTGAAATAGAGAATACGGATATTAGATTAACAGGCTTATTTAGAAAGACTATTGTCTACTTTGAACTTACTGTGCGAGAAAGTTATACTGGAACTACGAATAATGTAGGAATCTAGTCTTCCAGGGTGTACGAAGCACTCAAACTGGAAGAAAGTTGTCCAAAAATGATTCGAATATGAAGGTGAGAATTTGCAGGTACTTCTCATCGTGAGGGTGAACATATTAGGTACGGTTGACATCATACCGTAAAAAAAACAAATTTGCGAGTGGTGAAATATGATCTATAAAAAGTGAGCTTAATAACAGTTAATTACCTTCTTACTCCCTGATCATGACGCTTCGGCTTCCTTTTATGGCCAAAACAACAAATATACACTACACACTGATAGGAGATTTCCGGCTTTTCAATGTTAGGCTTGCTTTAACGCACCACGTAATGAGCACAACCCCTACATTACTGCTATATGGCATTTTTTTATAACAAACCCTCTTCAATAGATTGGTGGCATCTGTGACTTCGTCTATGGTTGTCGGAAGTCTCGGTCCTTTCGAAAACAATACTGATATCCCCTACTGCTGGGCACTCAGTATTAGTGGGACTCGTTGGTGGGATAGTGTTGTCCACAATACTGAAGTAAATTAAAAACCGGAGATTGTTTCCCTTCGTTTTGCCGATAACATCATAAAGGACAGTTAGGAACGAAAATGCGGACAGTTAGAGTCACAGGCGGCAGCAACAATTATTTAAGCTAAAGAAACGAACTTCGGATTTGGATATTTAGAAAACAAGTCAAAAGAAAATCCATTACCATTTTAAAACATAAGACTAGCCAGCTTGGCTGAAGAAATACATTGACTCGAGTAGAAGCAGCCAAAACCTAGAAAACAAAGTAAAATGAGGAAAAGTCTTGCAAAAACATTCAGAGTATTACATTAACTTCTGCACTTTAGCACACTGAAACATTAAATTCTGTAGCTACACAAAAGAAATAGCTGAAAAAAGCACAGAACGAAGAAAGCCGACCGCCATTGCTTACAAAGATGGCGGGTATAATAATTCCCGCCTCATACTGATTGGTTGCTAAGCTGAATGCCGCATTTACGAAATTGAGTTTTGTTTAAAAAGCACCCGTTTAGGCTCTTAGATGTGTAATTTTAAGGGAGTTATTTCGCAGAGCCCGGTGGTGATGTTCTGGTAAGATGTTTTTGCTACGGTGACTTGATGTGCTCAGTATGCTTTCTGTCATTATCAGGTCACCTCTTGTTCTCCGATGACTCGGAGATAATAATCCCAAGTGTCCGATTCTATCTTTGTAAGATTTGTTTCTCAGTTTCATCACTCGCCCATTTCCCGTCTCTGTGCTCTGTTCAAGGGATGTGTTTCGATTTTGAAGAGAGACAGTGCAGCAAAGTCGCATGTTTCGAGGTGTCGTGGGTGCATTTTAAAGTGTTAGAAACCGTCCCAGAGTAGTGGTGGCAATCCGTCCTCGTATAAAGTGGAGAGTTGCGTTTGCCTTGACTGTATCCATAATGTGGTTTGATCTGGCGTTCACGCTGTCCGCAGTTGACACTTCTGGATCGTGCTCCGAGGAGATTATAGTGAGGGAATTTTCACAAAGGACGTAGGTTGTTTGTGTCACATAGGATGGGAACGCCCATGTTATGACATATTGGTAGGTTAAGTTTTAACTAACTGTCTACTGACCACCCCTCTAATGTTGTAAGAAATTTTTGAAGCCCAAGTGAATACTTTTCTTTTTATATGAACATGTAAATCTCCTCATATTCTTCATATATTAGTACTTTCGAGCTAGTAGTTTTCAGAATTTCAATAATAAATATCAAAAATTTTGTGGCCCGAATACGGTTCTTTCTGATTTTAGATGGCAGCTTTCTCTCACTTTTTCAACTTAGTAGAAAACGTGTTCGTGGCCTATGTAGAAATGGACAGAATGAACTTTCCTTCTCGATCCACATTATAAGGAGTTTGTTTCATGCTGTTTCGAACATCTTTTCAAAACCGAGTAACTTATGTATCGTTACCAAGTTATGCCTTGATAATTTTGAATAAACTGAGCAATAAAATGAGTTACTTTTAGGAGTAATATATTTGTGACGTCATAATGAGTAGAAAAATGAAGTTTATAATTTTTCGTGCCTCGGACAAAGCCACTTTTTTTAGAGAGGAAGCAAACGGACAAATCGAATTAACTATATGTATATATATATGTACTACCGTATCCTCAGCTCGGAATGACAGATTGTGGTGTATGTTACTCAAGTTGACAGATATGCGTAGTATGTAGCACCAGTCGGAAGTGGAATGCACGCCTGTTGAAGATTGTAAAGATTCAATCAAAGAGAAGAGAAAAAAGAAACTATTTGTAGTGTCAACGGGATTAAAGGAATCAATAAGCATGTAAAGGACGAGTGATGGAAGACGTGCAAATTATCTATATGATGTTTGGTTTTCATATTCTGCAAAAGCACTCTGTAATTTTGCATTGAACAATAAATCGGTCTTTCCCATCTCATTGTTCGCTCACCATTGAACAACTGTTTAGGTACGCGATATCGTACAATAGAAATTAAAACAAGGTTATTTGGCAAATGAAAGTCCCGAATTTCGTTATAAGCTTAGATGTAAATTGTTACCTAAACAAATACTGCCACCTAGCTGCTCAAAAAAGATTTGTTCACTCAGAAATAAAATATTAATTACATTAAGTAGATAGATCGACAAAGCACATAAGATAATTATCAAGTGCAGCAAACAGATGTTCCTATTAGTAAAAGAGTGTTATCCTACCATTTCTGGATATGTCACGTATAGACTGCTCGAAAGGTATTTTACTACGTTACAACACGGGGTGTTTTCAGACTCTGGAAGTGTGCTTTAATTCATAACCAAGTGGTGGCAATTTCAGTCAATCCAAGTAACACAATAAAAAAGCGAGAAAACAAATAGCACAGCCGCCATAAACAAATGTCAACTAAAACAACATAAATATAGCTAGAGAAAATGAAGAAAGTTCAGTGAAGGTGCATAAAAAAAAACTTCAATGAAATATCCAACAACTGTGTGTCCCTCACTAAGTTCTAGAAACACATATAATTCTAAACTTTCTCCTCTTTTAAATCCCTTCTATTTGTACATTACTTTATTCATTCAGTGCCATACTGTGGCTTGTTTTCTTAAACCTGATGAAATTTGCTTGCTTAGAAATCGGCCTAATAAAAGAGAATAAATTAAAGTGGTCATACATCAGTTATCCCATCACAAACGACTAAACCTCACTATTCTTGAACACTTTACGTCCTGCTTCTCCTTTTTTGCTTCTTCTCACTTCCCCAGCACCCTCGTGGAATACTACCGAAAACACATACAGAACATATAACTTCGTCCTGCACCATCACTTATGCCTCTAGGATCACTGTCAAGAAGCACAAAATAATACGTTCAAGTTGACATCTTCGGATGATTTCCAGTCATTCACCACCACCAATTGATTGCCGCAACGCAACCTTTACAAGGTACGCCAATTCTCATATTGATCATTAGAGTCATCAAAATTAATGTTCTAAAATATGAAAACCTATCCTCTGTTTATATGACCAGCGTCCCCTATAACGTATCAACCTAGATGAGTAACTTAATAAAGTAATGCCTACTGCATTTTAGAAATTCGATCTCCCCT